GGGGGAGGCTTGGCTGCCGAGGAAAAGCCGCTCGATCGGGTCCAGGCCACCTGCAGGAAGGAGCCAGGCCTCAGGGCAGTGGCACCCACAACGTTGGGCCTGGCCAGCTGTGGGTGCTGCCTCGCACCCCTCCATCGCTGGCCCTGCCTGGCCTGGGAGAACAAGGCCAAGGACTCAACCCCCAGAGCTCACCGTGAAGCTGGACATACTCCCCGATGTGATCCGCAGCCTCGGGAGAGAGCCCCTTCTCTCCTACCATCTCGCTCCTCACTTCTTCCCATGGCATCTGCAAGAGGAGAGAAGAACATCAGGCACTGCTCTAGGGGAAGGTCTCTGATGGTCCTGCCCAGTACAGAGGAACAGAGGTATCTGCCTCAACACATCTTTACACAGCAGAACCCCATTGGTGTCAGCGTGGTATTTATGATTAGGGACCTAGACAACAGCAGCTTCAGCAGCCTGCTCACCAGTGGATTTCCATTTAACTCGGCCCTGTCACCCTGCCTCACAGACTGCGACTGCAGATCATCATTTATGATTGCACTGCTCTGCTCCTGCATTACCACACAGATTTACCATTTACGTATCACACTCACCTTGCCACTGAGGTCTGAAATTTCAGTAAAGGTTGGACTGGATGATCTTTCGAGATCCCTCCCAGTCACATCTGTTCTATGATTGCAGGACACAACTGTGATTCCTCACACCACCCAACTGAACCTGCTGCACTTGAAAAGGCTTTTCAATGTCCTGGTCCAGTCTGGGGACAGGTTTTCACAATCCTGGTTCATAAACAGCAGAAACTTAAGGTGGCTAAGGTTTGGGATGCCAAAGCTCCCATGTGAAGAGGATTTTTCCCTCCCTTCTTTCCATTTGTCAGGACCCCATTGGATACTGGAGAAGAAAGCATAGGATCCACTTTTCCTATGTGACTGCTGTGCCCTGCGTGCCACCCCCCAGAGAAACAGGGGAACAAGAACAACTCGATGCCTATCAGCATTTTCCAGTTCTCATGGTGAGAGCAGCCCAGAGGAACAGAGACTCTCTGGAACTCCAGCAGCAGCAGTTGCATTGCAGGGCTCCAGCTCATACCTTATCCAGTTTGTCAACGCTGGAGCAGATGGTCCGAAACTTGCTGTCTGGGACACCGCAAACTGCAAACATCCCATCGAGGATGCGCCGGTCGTTGACCTGGGGCAGAGGGAGCAAGTCATTAACTACAAACTGTACTTGGCACTGGTGAGGCCGCACCTCGAGTGCTGTGTTCAGTTCTGGGCCCCTCACTAGAAGGATGTTGAGATTCTGGAGCGTGTTCAGAGAAGAGCCACAAGGATGGGGAGGGCTCTGGAGAACAAGCCTGATGAGGAGCGGCTGAGGGAACTGGGCTTGTTTAGCCTGGAGAAGAGAAGGCTGAGGGGAGACCTCATCCCCACCTACAACTGCCTCAAGGGAGCTTGTAGAGAGGTGGGTGCTGGTCTCTTCTCCCAGGGGATGGGGGATAGAACAAGGGGAAACGGCACCAAGCTGTGCCAAGGGAGGTTCAGGTTAGAGATAAGGAGGAAGTTCTTTCCTGAGAGGGTCGTCAGAAGCTGGAACAGGCTGCCCAGGGAGGTGGTGGAGTCACCATCCCTGGATGTGTTTAAAGAGCGGGTAGACGAGGTACTTAGGGATATGGTTTAGGGGGTAGACAGGAACGGTTGGACGTGATGATCTCAGAGGGCTTTTCCAACCGAGCGATTCTGTGATTCAAACAGATGCTTCAGCTGCGTCCAGTTTCTCTCCTCTCTAAAGTGTGGAAAAAAACCTAGCAGGTATCTGCCAAGATGTTCTGCTGTTTGCAATTTGTGTCTTTTCCCCATTCCTGGGGAAATAAGCTGCCTCTCGGCCCACAGCAGGCCAACCAGCACAACCAGCTAGCACATTGTCCTTCGAGAGCCACAGACACCTCCACTCAACAGAGCAGAAAAAACAAAGGGGGCCCATGAGTCCTCTCATGTGGACGCTAAAAATCAGCTCAGGCTGAAAAACAGGCCATGGACTAAGGAGATGAATTCAGTGCCTTACCCTGGTAAGGTGCCTTTTAGCAGATATGCCATGAGGAGGCAGGGGAATGGGATGGACTGTGGCTTCTGGATCGGGCCTTGGTGGGCATTATGAGCGGGAACAGCTGCTGCTGTGTACAACTACAGGAACAACGACCACTGTTTCCCAGCGTGGCACAGAGAAACCCACCCAGTCTCACCTTAATGACGAAGTCCCCGAGCTGCAGATCACTCAGGATCTCGTGCACGATCTTCAGGCACTCGGCATCGGGAATCATCGGGTCAAACTGGCCAGCAATGTCAAAATCCTGGGGCACAGGAAAAGGCAGTGAGCAATTCAGCACCGCTGGCGTGGCTGCAGTGACACAGCTTCAACTCTGCTGCTACCAGCAGTTCGTTTACAAAAAGCAAGAGAAACGGGATGTAAGGGTGCACACCAGCACTCCCCAGTAGTATCCAGAAGGGACAGGATGTGGGTTATGGCCCTCTTTCATCGAAGGCAGCAGTGCTCTCACATCCACTGCATTGCAAGGTGTTTGTGTACTGTGTCATGGCAGTGCAGTTTGTGAGAAGCCGTTCTGCTTCTGGAGGTGTGTGACCCTGCCTCTGACACGGCAGTTTACTGCGTGACACACTTTGAAACAGAGATCCTTGGAAAACAAGAAAAAGGAGACAGCAGAGATCATCAGCAGTAAATAAATAGAACAAAGGAACAAAGAAGGGAAGGAGAAAACAACTTATTAATGGTATGACCTAAATGCCAAATGTTTCACCTTGATTCTGGGGATACTCTTTTTTAATACACGTGCCAATCAAGTGAATGATCATGGAAGAAAATGACAGAAGCGATCTCAACTGAGGCAAAACCAACGTTTCAACTGCCAAGACAGAAAAAGAAATCAGAAAGCCTGAGTGGTCTCCATTAGAGATTATGAGATGAACTAGCACGTAGAACTAAAGCACAACAGCAAGATGCTTTAACAGGTACCATAGGCACCCCGTGAGTGGAAAACAGCAAAGACAACATCAAAGTTCAGAGAGAAATAAAACACAGAAGCAACAAGAGACCTCTTATTCGACTCCCCCTCACAAATCCTCAAATGCAAAGGCTGCAATGAGATTTTGATTACAAGTATAATTTTAATTAAGAGGGTAAATTTCAGCATGGCTTCACCAAGCTTCCAAAATAAATTGGGGCAATGGAGGACGAAAGAGGTGAGATCACATCAGTTAATCCCCCATTAGCTGAGTGCACGAAAGGCTGATGCAATCCTTGTGGAAGTTGGGTAAGATCTGGTACAGTCAGGAACGTGCAGCTCCAGCTGAATGTGAAACCTCACTGAAAAAACCCACTTTTCCTAGGGAATTATATTTCACTGGTGAATTATATTTAAGAAAAGATGCAGAAAAAGTTACTAGGCTAAGAAAGCAGCAAAGCATCTCCAGGGAGAGAAGGTAACAGAGCTTGATTTACATGGCTTAACGAGGGGAAGACTTCTCTAAACGTTTCCCAAATGTTTATCTGGGAAAGGGGAATCGGTATCAAGGGATGACAGCTGTCGTTTAAGGAGCTGCACTGGCACAAGAAGAAGTAAACTATCAGACAGAAGTAAGCTTAGCCTGGATATCTGAAGACTATTTCTAGCTGTCCTAGGAGTGAGATCTTGGAACAGGCTTTCAGATGAGACACAGCAGACAAAGACCTCGAGTCGTCTGGAAATGGGAAACCACCAGGCTGGAGCTGGAGGTATCCACAGGGCTTGTACGATGCAACAGGGATATTCTCAAACAGGAATCTGTTTGCAATATGAGGCCCTAGGGGCTGTGTTTTACAGCAGAACAAAGCCATTCCTTGAGGCTCCCACACTCATCTGAGAAAGCCACAAATGAAATTGCTTTCTTACCTGTTCTGTAATTTGGCCTCTGGGTTTTCCCTTCCTTTGAAATAAAGGCTGACTAAGCACAGCGCAGAAGGACCGTATGCCACGGCTGAGACGCTCACCTGGCTTGTGTGTCCTGCTAACACACCCAGGAGTTCAACCCTTTCCAGATTTGGGATCAGAAGGAAATTCTCCCTCTCCACCAGGCTGGCAAGGATTGTGGGACAAAGCAAAGAGCTGTCTTCCTCCACAGTGCAAAGCACGTGAGATACCTGTGGCACCTGGGGGCCGTACTACAAAGCCCTCTGATACACCAGCACCCCATGTCACAGCCATCGTCCTCATGCCCCCACTCTCAAGCCATTTTTCACACCCATAAGGGCATGCTAAGGAGATCAGTGGATCCTCCTGAACTTTTCACAGCCATAGGGAAGGCCACTGCAGGGTAACACAGCCTTCAGTCTGTATTTTAACAGTCCTATGTCCCCACAAGCGCTGCCCGGCCTACAGCAGCATCCCTGTCCACAGCCAAACTCACACACTGGTAGAACTCCCTGTAGCGGCCCCTGGTCATGGCCGGGTTGTCCCGCCTGTACACCTTGGCGATGTGGTAGCGCTTGATGTTGGTGATCTTGTTCATCGCCAAATAGCGAGCGAAGGGCACCTGAAACAGCGGGGTTAAGGATGAGAACGGGGAGGGATCACCCCACCCAGTTATCAGTCACAGGCAGTACTGGGTCCTCGCTATCTCCTCAACATCCAGCACAATGTGGCGCGTACACGTGTGGAAAAGCAGCTGCTAAGAGAGAGCTGGACTTGCCACAGCCCCCCAAGGTCCCCACAAATGCCCAAGACACAGCCCACACGTGCTGCCATTAAGTACCCCCACAGGCATCTTCCAGCACTGCCTTAAGGTGGATCTGTCTCACTCGGGCTGTGTCCCTCAGCAGCCTGGCCTGGGTACCCCAGTGCAGGAGAAACCCCACTCAATACAGATCTTCCTTCCCTCCGCACACAAGTGTTACTTCGCCAGACAGAAGCAACATACAGTAAATAACTGAGCAAGGGTTCTGCACCCACTGCTCCTGCTCTCACTGTCAGTACAGAGTCAGAGCCAACAGCCTGTCCTCCCTTGCCCTCTGGTCATCCCAAAAGAAGGGTAGCAAAGGTGACAAGACCCCTCAGCACTGGTTGAGGCAGGATACTGTCAGGTCATAGCGCAGGGACAGCAGCTCTCCTCCTTGATCTTTCAGATCGTAGATGAGCTTCGAGTCTTCACCGTATTTCCCTGTCAGCGTCTCCTACAACAAAAGGACACACGAACAAACAGCATCTTCAGTGACAGGGGATCAGCCCTAGAGCTCACAAAAAAACAAGAGGAGAAAGGGAGGACACCTAGGACATGGAAGAAGGAAACTCAGCCCTCAACACATCACAAGCTTTCAGCTGCAGGATCCTCATCAGCTCAGCCACCTTGCTGTGTCCTCACTCACCTTCAGCTCAAACACTGGCGTGTCGATGACTTCTGCTCCGTGGCGCTTGAAGCAGGTGATGATGGCGTTGAAGACCCTCTCACGAATGGCCATTTGCTTGGGGCTGTAGTCCCGTGTGCCCTGGGGTGAGATATGGACACATTGGGTTAGGGGCATGCAGTGGAGACAGACATGAGATGCGACGCGAAGAAGCTATCATACTGCTACGAAACCAGAGAGACTGGGTCCAGGCACCAGATATTGGGAGAGGTGGTAAAAAGCAGCACCAAAAAATCATTGGAAAACATCAGGACACAGCTCAGACCCAATCTGCCATGGTTTGCAGAGCTAAATCTGCATCTGGAGTTTCAGGAAACAAAGGAGCTAACACAGATCCAACAGTTGGAGAGTTCAGTGCTTTCAAGCACAACAGCGCAGCCTGGATCCTGTCCACAGCTCTGATTCAGACATATCAGAAATCCCTGCACAATGAACCACCCCAAGAGGTGGAATCAGAGGTCAGGCACACTCTGAAGCTGGGGAACAACCAACAGCTCCACAATTCCCAAACACAGAGCGAAATCATCTTTTCAAAGCGCAATACCCATGAAGTGCCCATCCTGCTGTTCACTGGCATGTGCTCCCTTTTAATTTCTTTGCTGTTAAAAGCCACTGAATTATCTCGATGACCTTTAGGCCCTCGGCAACACATAAAGCACTGTTAATTAACCAGACCTCCCTCTTTAATTTTCTAGGGACTGGCAGCTAGGCAGGAGGAAGCAGAGAGCAGGCACTGCGTAACACCCCACCTGCAGGTCGCACAGCGAAGAGCAGCTCTCAGCAGTACATGGATGTGGCTGAGACAGGCTGGAAACCTGTTTGTGCATCCCTGGCAATCAACAGAGCTGCAAAATCCTCTCTCTACATCTTTAAACAGTGAAATACCTTTCCCCTTTCCAGGTCTCACACCACAGTAACATTTATTAAAACCATAAAGGAAATGGACAAGGGAAACAGTTTTGAGACACTTCCCCAAGTCAGTGGCATTACCATAACCTGCTTTATTTGTGAACAACATTCATAACGATCTCCATGCCACAGCATGGAAGTGCAGTTGGTCTTGGGTCAGCTTCTAGCAATGAAACATCCAGGTTACAAAAAATTTCAGCATAAATTGCACTATAGACACTATTCTCAGGGTCCTGGAGATAGAATAGCTACCCCTGAAGGAAGCTTCTGTGAGAGACCACAGAGATGTCAGCAGCAGCCAGACCAGCTCAGGAAACGGGACTGGCCACCCCCACAGACTAAGGCAAGGTCTAAAGCCTCAAGACCTTTCTTGCTCCTCACACCTCAAATCCTGTGTTCAGTTTTGGAGTCTGTCCTCGCTCCAAGGACACTGAGACACTGGAGAGTGTCCAGAGAAGGGCAACAAAGCTGGGAGGGGTCTGGAGCACAAGAGTTATGGTGAGTGGCTGAGGGATCTGAGTGGTTCAGCCTGATGAAGAGGAAGCTGAGAGAGACCTTATTGCCCTCTACAACTCCCTGAAAAGAGGGTGTAATGAGGTGGGTGTTGGTCTCATCTCCCGCATAACAAGTGACAGGACAAGAGGAAACGGCCTTTCCCTGAAAAGAGGGCGTAATGAGGTGGGCGTTGGTCGCATCTCCCACGTAACAAGTGACAGGACAAGAGGAAACGGCCTCAAGCTGTGCCACAGAGGTTTAGATTGGATATGAGGAAAAATTTATTTACTGAAAGAGTGGTCAAGCACTGGAAGGGGCTGCCCAGGGCAGTGGTGGAGTCTCCATCCCTGGAGATGTTCAAGAAGTGCCTGGATGTGGCACTTGGGGACACGGTTTAGTGGCCATGGTGGGGTTGGGTTGAGGGTTGGACTTGATGATCTTAGAGGGCTTTTTGAACCTTAATGATCTGATGATTTCAACACGTACCGAGCATTCTAGGAAACATTGCTGAGCCTCTGGACTTCTTCGGCTGGCTCATGCCTCGCAACTGCCCCACAGGGAACCTTCCACCAGCAGAGCTGCACTTCACAGCACTTGTGCTCACCCAGCCTACCAGCAGCTTCATCCGCTCTGTCCACGATACCAGGGAACAGGACCAACTTGAGGATCCCTGATCCATAAGAACCAACATCTGCACTCATGGGGCCGGTGCCACAGGAGCCAAAGAGTCCTAACCCTAAACTCATCGGGCAATGCAACTCATTTACTTCAAATAGTGCAATCCAAGCAGCTGTGAGACCTCTCACGCTGGGCAGCTATGATAAAGCTTAACCAAAAGGGAATTTAATTTCCTGACCACACCAGCCAGTGGTTTTCTTGTCAGAAAAGCATCAGAAAGTCTTTAAGGTATCTGGGATGTCAAGGATGTTTTCACCTCCTCTTCCCTGCTACTAAAAATGAAAAGGGAAACAGAAATGAGAGCACAGACAGACGAGTCTGTGCCGAGGGTTTTGCACACACGGGTGTGTGGAGGTGCTGGGGTGTGCACAGGAGTCGTGCACACAGAGAGGCTTGCGAGCGTGTGTGCTGGAGGATGTTACCTTTGGGGTCTTGAGCACAAACTTGTGTTTTCCCTCATCTCCTCCCAGCTGTGCCTTCATCTCCAGCAACTTCGCCACCTCCTTTGCAATCTGAGGAGAAACAGGAGGAAGTTGGAGTTGAGTCAACCTGCCAGGCCCAGCACACAGCCCTGCCTCAATACCCTGAGCACTGGCACTCCCAGTACACCCAGACTCCCCTGCCTCAATGCATCCACTATTCCCAGTCTCCCACAGTATCCAGAGGTGCAGTCCCTGCTCCTCTTCCGTACTCCTCACTTCTGCTACAAGCACCCCAACCTCAGCACCCCCAACACCCCCACAATCTCCATAACCCTCAACATCTGCCTCCCCAGTCCCCATACTTCCTAGGCCCAGTACCACCAGCTCCTGCAGCATGCACCCCAGCATCAGCAGCCTCCAGCATCCTCCTCCCAGTCCCAACACCCTCAAGCATCCTTCTCTCCCAGCATCAGCAGTTCCCACTCCCAGTCTCCACAAGCATCTCAGCCCCTCCGTTCTCCAGCCTAAATCACTAATCCCACCCTTCCCAATACCCCTCCTCCCAATGACACCACCCCCAGCCCAGCAACACCCACACCAGTACTCCCAGTTCCCCATAACCCCCTCCTCTTAAGCCCAGCAACCCTACCCACAGCCCAGCCCCCTCAGCAGCCCTTTCCTCACCCCAACACCAGCACTCCCA